GTGGGCCGTGGGGGAGGGCCCGGGAGGTTGTGATCAGCTGGGAGGTGGGAGTGGGACGTCTACATGGGGACCTGGCATGGGGCGACCGGTGGGGCCTAGGGGTGATTCTTGAACCCCTTCCCAGAGTTTTGACTTCACTAACTGGGAGGAGCCTCAAACAAAAATAATTGTCACTTATTGGATGTCTACAACGTTACTACGTGTCAGGCTCTGCGCCTTTTCTACCTTATTTAATAAATTCTGTGCAGTACAATCTACTACTGTCCACGTTTCACAGGTAGGGAAAGTGGGGGGCAGAGAGGTTAAGTAACTTGCTCGAGATTGCAACTCTGTAAGTAACAGGGATGGAATTCCAGGAAAGGAGTCTTCTTGACTCCAAAGTTAATAGGATTAACCACCAGCATACAGGCTTCCAGTATGTTCCAGAACTGTTCAGGTTCCAGGTAAGAAACTGAGGTCCCAGGAGTGTGAAATTAAACAGATGACGTTTGTCAGATGTCTGACAGTTCCTGGCACTGTGTGGATCCGTAAAGTCATTCCCTTGCCTCTCTCTTGAATGCCTGTTGGTTTGAGTCTCCTCCGAAGGCACAGGTCTCCTAATTCAAGGTTCTTTCCACTCCACCCTCCCCACCCCTTTGCTCATTGCATCCTGTCTCTCCTCTGGTCTCTGCCAAGAGAAGCCCTGAATGGCCTCTCTCTCCTTTTGTTCCTTGGGTGTTGAAAATCAGACCAGCCAGCTCTGGGTTGAACTATGCCGACCCTGAATTGCCTCTTGAAGGCAGAAGGAGCTTAGGAGGCACCTGAGTCCCCAAAGGAGACATTGTGGAGTCAGAGCCCTGTACCCAGCTAAGGCCAGCATCCAGTTGCCCTGTGACTTGGGAATGTTATGATGAGTCAGAGGAAAATGCCTAGAGTGACCCAGCAGGCTCACTTTCCCTCTGTCTTACCGACTCAGAGTCTGATGGGTAATTCCTTCTTTTCTCTGAGCGGTACTTCTCTTTTTTTTTTTTGAGATGGAGGCTTACTCTGTCACCCAGGCTGGAGTGCAGTGGCACGATCTCAGTTCACTGCAACCTCCGCCTCCTGGGTTCAAGCAATTATCCTGCCTCAGCCTCCCCGATAACTGGGATTACAGGCACTTGCCACTACACCCAGCTAATTTTTTGTATTTTTACTAGAAACAGGAGTTCACCATGTTGGCCAGGCTGGTCTCGAACTCCTGACCTCGTGATCCGCCCTCCTTGGCCTCCAAAAGTATTAGGATTACAGGAATGAGTCACCGTGCCCGACCACTTCTCTTTTCTTAGACCAGTTGTTTCCCACTTACCTTTCCCCAGTCTGAGAAAGTTGTGATATATGGGAGGAGGCAGAAGACAAACAGAACCGTGTGAACCTTTTTATCATGTGATCAGAGACACCTCACACTGTCTTGTTGCATCTCTGTGTGTGAGTCAGTTCCCAGGCCTGGCCAGCTTTTCATGCCATTTGGCAACATCTCTGGGGACTGTTTTTCTTTCTGTCTCTGCGGAACTTCCTGAGACAAGAATGTATCTATCCTGCTGGGCCTTCTACCTGGCTTAGGGCTCAGTCCTGCTAAGTAAGGTGTGCCTTGTTTTAGAAAGTGCTTCAGCCTCCTGTCTGAATAAGTTGTGTCTGTAACAATTGAAGTATAAGTCCAGTGTTCAAAATTTGATAATTAGGCTGGGCATGGTGGCTCATGCCTGTAATCCTAGCACTTTGGGTGGCCGAGGTAGGTGGATCACTTGAGGTCAGGAGTTTGAAACCCGCCTGACCAACATGGTGAAACCCCGTCTCTACTAAATACAAAAAATCAGCCGGGCGTGGTGACGCATGCCTGTAACCCCAGCTCCGTGGGAGGCTGAGGCAGGAGAATTGCTTGAACCCAGGAGGTAGAGGTTGCAGTAAGCCGAGATCATGCCACGGCACTCCAGCCTGGGCAACAAGAGTGAAACTCCGTCTCATAAAAAAGAAAAAAAAATTGATAATTAAACTAGTGAACGTTACTCTTCAAGTCGTGAACTCCTTTGAGAATGATGGAAGCTGTGGACTCTCCGCTCAGAAAAATGCACGTATGGGCCGGGCGCGGTGGCTCAAGCCTGTAATCCCAGCACTTTGGGAGGCCGAGACGGGCGGATCACAAGGTCAGGAGATCAAGACCATCCTGGCTA